TTTTAAGAACAGCTTGGACAAACACCTATCTGGGATGGTCTAGATAATACTTGGCCCTGCCTCAGTGCAGGGAACTGGATGAGATGACCTACTGAGGTCCCTTCCAGTCCTACATTTCTATGATTCGGTAATCACACACAAACAAGTTTCAGCTCTAAGATTACAGAGCTCTTTTTAAAAACATGATATGAATAGAGATAGAAGAGTCATGATTATTTATTCACTATGGAGACCCAGGAAGAGGTCAGTGGAACAAAATACAGAAACACTTTGCGATCTGAAGCCATTTTCCCAGCCTCCTTCCTCACCTCTTGCAGCTGTTTCAGCACACTCAGAACTAACCAGTCTCGCTCCAGCTGCTGCTTCAATTCAGTAAATTCCACAATGGCCACATTCAGATCTTGCCGGACCTAGAATAGCAGCACAGACGTCAAGCCTTCAGCAGTTCATTTACAGTAACCAAAGGCTATGAGAGCCATTTCTATTTCAAAAGTAACACCGACATGACAACACCAGCGTGCTGCCTGAAACGCACGTACCTCCCAAAGTTACAAACACCACCTAAGGTTATTATAACTGAAACAAATTTGAAGGAAAAAAGGTTCTATTTCTCCAGTGTATTTACCTAGTGCAGTTGACAGAAATGTGTATATATTCAGTTTGTCTGTATGATCAGACTGTTTTAACCTCACTAGAAAGACCCTTTTAAACAGCAGAGGAGAAGAGAAACTCGTAAAAAAAAAAAACCCCAAACAAACAAACAAACAAACAAAAAGCATTATTGTATGGGAATTTTTGAAAAAAAGTAGAACATGGCGATATCAAATTGCAGATCTTTGAATGAAATTCCAGAGTGCCTTTAACAATTCTCTCCTTTTAAATGAGATAAATGTCAATTTGAACTTAGCCAAAAGTACAGTTTAACTATACATTTTAAACGCTTCCATAGGCATGCAAGATCAATAGATGTGTTTCCCTTTTTTTTTAAAAAGATCCCCAAACTGTTAAATTAACAAACAAACAACAATCTCTTGCATTGGTTGTACCTTAAATTCTGCAGCACTAGGAACCCAAAGCTGAAATTGACTACAGACAAGTGTAACTGACGTCACTGATTGTTATTGTATACGCTGAGAAACATAAATTAAATACACAGCAACAAATAAACAGAGACAAGTAAAGTGGATGTTTCATAACTGGTATCAGATGTAAAAGTTATTTTCACATCGTATGATTTTTGAGTTGATCATTCTCCTTTGCAAAGAAAAAATCCAGATTTATATCCCACCTGCATTAGAGCCTTTCTAACTTAGATTTCAAAGCCAGAGTGGCAAGGCAGAGGCCAGCTAAGAGAATTAGTCCAGGGATATAGAAAGGACGACACACACAAAAAATATAAGCAGGCCACGGGAAGGACAGTCTTGCACTCAATATACAGAAAATCTGGGCTCAATTCACAGCTCTGCACAGAATCTTATGTGCCATAGGACTCTTTGTTGCTTTTTACAGATCCAGACTAACACGGCTACCCCTCTGATTCTTGGCCAAGGTCATTCCACTTCTTTGTGCCTCAGTTTCCCCACCTGCAAAATAAGAATGATTCCTCCCTATCTCAATGCGGAGAGGCTTAGAAGATAAATGCATTAATATACTCGAGGGGCTCTGAAACTACTGTGATGAGCACCACGGAAAACCATTCAGCTACATAATTAATGAATAAGCTATAGCCCGCCCTTTATTTATATCCCAGGTCTGATACATCATACATCGGTATGTTTCAGTCAAGGGCACTCTTTATAAGAGGCGGCGATTCATCCTGGAATCCTTAGCCAAGATCCTCCTCCCCTGCCTTCCTGTGCTGCGCATCAGTGGAGTTGTACTGCTTTGGGACGATGCAGGATGAAAGCTGCTAGATACAGATAAAGTGAAACCGCTGCTGCGTCACCTCATTTCGATCCTGGATTTCAGTAGGTCGATGTTGCCGGACAGACTGTCCACTTGTGACACCAAGTCCTCAGCGCTTTGCATGCTCGGGAGGAACTCGTTATACTTCTTGTTAATCATGTTGCAGACTTCGCCCTAGGTAGAAGGGATGGACTCCGCATCAGAAAAACGAACACCCATAGGGTTGCCAACTCTGACTGAAGCTATTCCAGGGACATTTTTTTCCCAACATGAGGTAATGTCATGTTCTTAAAATAGCCTATTAAAACCTCCCGGGTTGCTTTCAACAGTCACCAAGAGATTGATGCCGATTGTGGGAGACTCCAGGCCAATCCTGGAGGGTTGGCAACCCCAAACACCCGCAGAGAGACACCCCAAGGCCGTGGCCACGGGGCCCAAGCCTCCCACCCCCATCGCAGCCCTCTCTGCAGCCCGAGCTCGTTGAGATGGGCCGACTGATTTCCCAGGTGGAGGGACAAGGAAAGTAGCTCCAAGGAACGTCTCGCAGGCCAGGCTGGGAGCAGCACAGATCCCCCATCACTGACACCCTGCAGACATGAGCAGGAATCACTGGCCCAAAGCACCGCCCCCTCCAGAGCCTCCTGCCCCGCCCCTCAGTGTTACCCGCCCCCTAGCGCCTGGGGCCCGACACGCCGGGGTCACCCCCACCGCGCTCACACCCTGCCCCCCCCTTCTCCGGGCCCCCCACAGCCCTTCTCACCCGCCTTCACGGGCTGCCCAACTGCCCCCCCTCTGCCCGGGCCCCCGGATCCGCCTTCTCCAGCCGGCCCGAGGGCGCCAGCACCGCAGCCACCAGCGAGGGGGACGGGGCAGCCCTGGGCACCCAGCGCCCGGCCACCCCCTCATCGGCGGCCCGCCACCGCGCGGCACCACGGGAAAGTGAGTCCGCCCGCCCCCTACTGCGGGACTCCAATTCCCACGAAGGTACCTGAGGAGGCCCGTGCGGGACTCCAACTCCCAGAGTGCACCACGCAGGGCGGGCCTACGAGCTGCGGCGAGGGACAAACCTATTTCGAACGTTTTGCTCTTTCCCCGCCATTCTATTGGTCCGCAGCCGCCGAGCGAGTGAACGAGCTCCCCGTCTGATTGGTCCGCTGCCGCGGGGCGGGGAATATAAACCGGGACCGGCGGAACTGCTGCCTCTCGGCCAGGGGGACCCGGGGGCTGCCGCTGGGCCGCGCAGCGAAGGCGGTAAGTGGGGCGGACGGGGGTGGGGCCGGGGGTGCCGCGCGCCAGCTGTAGCTAGAACGCCGGAGCCGCCCAGAGGCTGCGGGGAGGGGCTCGGGAGAAGGATCTGGGGGGGCTCGGGCGAGGGGGGGCTGCTCGGCTGGTGGCGGGGGGGGCTGCTCGGGCAGGGGGGGCTGGGCTGGTGGTGGCGGGGGGGCTGCTCGGCTGGTGGCGGGGGGGGGCCTGCTCGGGCGGGGCGGGGAACGGGGGCTGCCGCTGGGCCGCGCAGCGAAGACGGTGAGTGGGGCGGAAGGGGGAGGGGCCGGGGGTGCCGCGGGCAGCTGTGACTAGAACGCCGGAGCAGCCCAGAGGCTGCGGTGAGAGGGGCTCGGGAGAAGGACCGAGGGGCGCTCGGCTGCTGCCGGAGCGGTGGGGCGGGGACGCCTCTCGGGCAGGGGCGCTGGGCTGCTGCCGCAGCTGGGGGATGGGGATGAGAACAGGGAGCTGGGCTGGTGCTATGGGCGGGTGGGGGCTTCCTCCTGCACCAGCGCCTGCTGGAGAGGTGGCAGCTGTAAAGGGCCCTTTGGAGGCTTCTGAAAAGCTGTCTGTGAAGGGGAAGCGCTTTGCACCTGCCCTTACCTGCTCCAGAGGCTGCCCCCAGCCAGGTCTAATCGTGCTTTGTATCAGAGACACCCACACTCACCTGTCGTCTTTGCAGGAGGGGGCAGTGACCTGAATGTTTGCTTCCTTTCCTCTTGCCTGGAGGGGATTGGCTCTCCTGGGGGATCTGGTTGGGGAATGTATCTGACTTACTGTGTGACCTTCCAGACAAACTTTACTTTCCTGTCCTTTTCTCACTTTGTTCGAAAAAGCAAAAACAAGGGGAATAAATGGTTTTCAAGTGTCTTCGGTTTTCCAATAAAAGCTTCCACTTCAACACTTGTGTTTGATTTTTCTTTTGGGGAAATGGGGGTGGAAGAGAAGCTTGTAGCAAAACTTCCAACCTGGGACAATGTGGTGGTTCTCCCATTGCCTTTGAGGTTCTGAATTGGAGGTTTTGGAGCTTGATTTTAAATCCCTCCCAGCTGCTTGGCCAACCTCCCTAAGAACACTCTCCCCCTGGATCTCTAGCAAGTGTCAGGGAAGCCATGTTCTGAAACCTCAAACTCTAGAGCAGTGATACTCAGACTGCAGCTTGGAAACTGCAAGTAGTTCTTTGCAGCACCTATTAAAACACTGATTTAATTAACCGCTCAGGATGCTTTTTCTCTATTAATTTGCACAAAGCCATTGATGTTGTTGTGAACATATAAAAACTAAAGTTTTCCCATCTCATACTGTTTAAATATGAAGCTGTAGTAAATGAAATTAATTCACACCACTGGGGCATTTTTAGGGTAACGATTGCTAATTTGGCTCCTGAACCACTGAGATCTGAGTATTACTGCTCTAGAGCTAAACTTTTGAGGCTATTTGTATACCCTAACAGTGAAGGATGCAGGATTCTCCACAGGTGACCTTAACTTGCTTGTTGACCTCAGCTTCTCACAGGGATAGCAGAGAACTAAGCCATGGGCTGACGGGACCTCAGAGCAGTGTAGCTTGAGGGACTTGTCAAGGAGTAGTACATTGCTGAGCAAAGAGCATGGGCCTGCTACCAGTAAATGGACCCTTCCAACATCAGACTGGACTACACCAAATTAAGTATAGGAGTTGGAAGCCTCAGGGTTGAAGGTTTGGTAGTAGAAATCTGATCTACTGCAACTATCCAAGTAGCTGCAGTGCTCTCTACCAAAGTGATCTCCTAGTGTAACCACTAGCTGTTCTCCCTCTCCCACTGGCTCTGATCTTCCTGAAATAGCTAAAATTAAATGTCTGCTCTTCAGAGCAGAAACATTGTGGCTTGTCCCCTACCATTGTGGCAACACACACAGTGTTTGGGTGCAGTATAAATGATCCACACACACATGGGGCCCCATCTTCAGCTCCTCCATGCTGTGGGAGAGCCGGGCGATCCAGGTGCCCTGATCCTTCTCTAGTGTGCCAGCACTGCAGCCACCAGCGAGGGGGACGGGGCAGCCATGGGGACCCAGTGCCTGGTCACAGACCCCTGGCCACCACCTCATCAGTGGCCCACTACCGTGTGGCACCATGGGTTTAAAAGGCTGGAGCTCCCCTTGCCCTTCCCCAGCACTGCTCAACTTCAGGTACTTCTCTAGTTTCTGGCTCAGCCCCCTTTTCAGGGCCAGCTGGGCCCTAACTGAGCTGATTACAGCTGTGTACCATCCAGAAACATATGTAAGGAAAAGGTTATTTTCATGTTTTGTCAGCAGAGGAGTTAAGACTGTCATATCTTTAGCTCGTGCCCACTCCATCTCACTTTGTTAGAATAATAGCTAAAAACTGTTGTTCAGAACACCATAAGGCTAACAGGTACGGCCCTTGGCAGCTCTCAGAAACTGCTAATGATAAGCATTCACTACCTGCAGCAGTAAGAGGTGCAACTTTGCTTAAAAAAAGGCCATGGGATGTAGCTGACTCCTACAGAGGAATTCGCTTCATCACATTGCAGTGCTACAGGGAGCAGCACCTCCCTAGAGTTTGCAGTTTCATACACGTGTGTGTGTGTGTGAAAATGCTACCTGTAGGACCGTGCTACCCGCAGCAGCGAAAGGTCAAACTTTGCAAAAAAAAAAAAAAAAAAAATAGGTATTTCAAGCAGTCTCACATGTAAAACCAACCTGATCGCTTTCTTTAACAGTGTAACAAGCCTACAAGCAGTAGATGGGGTACAACTTGCCTTTACTAAGGCTTTTGATACTGTCTTCCATGACCGTCTCATAAACAAACTATGGAAAGGAAACCTAGATGGGCATAACAAGTGGGGTTCTCCAGGGATAAGGTCTGGATATGTTTCTCTTCAAAATCTTAATGATTGAGAGAATGGCACAGAACGGTGATAACAGTTTTCAAGCATTTACAAATAAAGTATCCTTTTAGAGAAGCTGTTTCTTACAATCTGTACCTATCACTACCTGCTACAGACAGCACATGTCTACACGTAGCAATTTCACATACGCTATAGTGCACGAAACTGCTATCTGGGGGCATTTGCTACATCAGGGAGCAGTTTCATACACTAGCAGCTTCGAACACTCTATCCGTAGCGGAAAGTGCTACCGGTAGCACATTCCTACGAGGAGCCGTATCCTTCACTACACCTGTAGGGGCAGCCAAGGGGACCCAGCGCCCGGTCACAGACCCCAGGCCACCACCTCATCAGCGGCCCGCCACCGCGCGGCGCCACGGGAAAGTGGATCCCCCCGCCCCCTACTGCGGGACTCCTAGTCCCAGGCACGTGTCTGAGGACCGGGCGGGCCTACAACTCCCAGAGTGCACCACGCAGGGCGGGCCTACGAGCTGCGGCGTGGGACAAACCTATTTCGAACGTTTTGCTCTTTCCCCGCCATTCTATTGGTCCGCAGCCGCCGACCGAATGAACGAGCTCCCCGTCTGATTGGTCCGCTGCCGCGGGGCGGGGAATATAAACCGGGACCGGCGGAACTGTTGCCTCTCGGCCAGGGGGACCCGGGGGCTGCCGCTGGGCCGCGCAGCGAAGGCGGTATGTGGGGCGGACGGGGGAGGGCCCCGGGCCGGGGATGCCGCGGGCAGCTGTGGCTAGAACGCCGGAGCCGCCCAGAGGCTGCGGGGAGGGGCTCGGGAGAAGGAGCCGCCCCTGGGCTGCCAGCGGGCCCCGGGGGGCTGGCGGCAAGGGGGGGCGCTCGGCTGGCGGCGGGGCTCGGACTGGTGGCGGGAGGGAAAGGGGGGTCTCGGGCAGGGGCGCTGGGCTGGTGCCGGTGTGGGGCC